ATTATCTTTGTGTAAAAGTGACTTTATGTCAAACTCACTCAAGTACCTGTATATACAGAATACTTCTCAAAGGATAGTTTGTCTACATATATAGAATACTTGCTTGACTGGTGTCATGGGTTGAATTGTTTCTCCCAAAAAATGTGTGAGCTTGGCTAGGTCGTGATTCCCAGCATAGTGTGGTTGTCCTCCTTTTTGTGATGTGTTGTAAACCCTAACTTCTAGATGTTAATAGGATCAGTGGGTGTCTGTATGCTGGGGGTGGGGGAGGGTGCAAAAGTGTGTGACTCAAGTCATACTGTCACTCAAAGCATACTCTTACAACCAATAAAAGGAGTGAGAAGCAAGGAGAGAAGGAAGGGACCAAAAAAGAGGAGCATCCTTTGGACCCAGGGTCCTGCACTAAAAGCCTCCTAGACTTGGAAAGATTGATGCCAAGACATATGGAGCTCTCCAAGGAATGCCAGGCCCACAGTTTTTTAAATGAGACAAAGACCTTCCCCAAGAGCTCATGCCTTGAATTTGGACTTGTAGCCACTAAAGCTGTGAAAAAGTAAATGTCTGTTAGCCATCTTCTCCTGATACTTCTCTGTTGAACAGCACTAGATAACGAAGACAACAGTCTTTATTTCCTTACTCTGATTTATTTGATAACGCAACTTTGTGCATGCATTCTTATCCAGTATATAGTATAGTTTTGATTGTGTGTTTTTAAGGTACCCAAATAATATTATGCCCTAGATCTCATTCTTTTTCATTCTACACTGAACATTTAAGACCTATCCATGCTGTCCATATAGCTCATTTGTGCTTCTTCCTACACATTTACTTTTGCATTCTTTTAGTGAAAGGCACCTAAACTGCCTCTCATCTTCTGCTGCCACTATGTCCTAATGATCTTTCTAGCTATGCTTTCTTGTGGACGTTGGGGAGAATTTTCTCTAGGATAAAAGTCCAGGAATATGATTCCTGAGCCACGTCTCATTGTTGTTGTTGTTGTTGTTAAGTGCCGTCGAGTCGGTTGCGACCCTGAATAGGGTTTCCGAGGCTGTAAATCTTTACGGGAGCAGAACGCCTCATCTTTCTCCCGCGGAGCGGCTGGTAGTTTCGAACTGCTGACCTTCCGGTTCGCAGCCCGATTCGTAACCACTACGCTACCAGAGAAAAAAAAAGGATATTTGTAAAACAGTTTAAAGGCAACAAGGGAGTACTATCAAGAATATATATGGAACTCCTATAAATCTTAGGAAAAACATTGAAATGCAAGAAAAAGTAGACAAATGTAATACCTAGGCAATTCAGAGAGGGGAAGTTGACATTTATTTGATGACTTGACGGCATGTAACAATAACAGTGTATTTTAAGGAGTTCTGGTGTGGCACTGTAGAATCAGCACTGGACTGCTAACCACAGGTTGACAGTTCAAACTTACCAGGAGCTCCTCAGAAACCCTCTGCAGGGTCTTGATGAGTCAGAACTGACTCGATGACACTTAACAATAACAACATGTTTTTTTAAACCATCACTCATTTGTATCAGTTTGTTAGTTTGAGGACTAAAGTATGCCTGACCAAGTGTGGTATATTCAGTGGCCTCACATGCATGTGCAACTTGGACAATGACTAAGGAAGACCAGAGAAGAATCGATATATCTGAATTGTAGTTTTGGCAAAGAATATTGAAAGTACTATGGATTGCCAGAATAAGCCAATCTGTGTTAGAAGAAATACAGCCAGAATGCCACTTAGAAACAGTGATGGCAAGACTTCCTCTCTGGTACTTTGGACATGTTGTCAGGTGGGAGAACATCATGCTTAGAAAAGTGGAGGGTCTGTGAAAAAGAGGAAGACCCCCCAACGAAATGGATTGGCACAGTGGCAGCTGCAATGGGCTCAAACATAACAACAGTTGTAAGGATAGTTCAGGACTGGGCAGTGTTTCGTTCTGTTGCACATAAGGTCGCTGAGTCAGAACCGACTCGATAGCACCTAACAAATGCATTTTAAAAGCATTTTTGTTGTTTTATTCAGCATCTCTGTGTGTTTATAATAGAAGAAGACTGTTTACATCATTTCAGTGTGCCTTTTTGCCAAAACTCTGTTCTTTACTTAGTATTCTTATTAGTCTCAGTAAAATTTTGACTTTCAGCATTGACAGCTTCCATTTGTTATGTAGCCCTTAACCACCCTTGAACGTTTTCTGTCTTAACTTGCCCCACTTTCCTTTATTGGTCAAGCTTTTAACAATGTTTTTAGTATTTGTGTATGGATAAGCCACAAAATTCTGTTCAAAGGAAATTTTTTTTTAAGGTTTGGCTGATTACTTCTGCTAAACTTACGCTACTATTTTCTAATTTAACTGTTAACAAGAATATGGCATATTCTTAGGTGTGTGATTAATGCACACAGCATCATCCTTCTAGGTCATTGGTGGGTTGGATTATCTTTCAGTATCATGGCAGATATGGGAACTCTCCTCAGAAAATGACCATAAATGACCTTTTAAGTAAGTTTTAACTTGTCCTGAAATACAATCCCAGTCAGTTGTTTCTTGTTAATAAGAATGCTTAAAAAGATCTGATGTGTGCCCAGAAATATTTTATGTATGCCAGGTCACTCTTGTCTTAGGAAAAACAAAAAAATCGCATTGTATCTCTCTCTCTCTCTCTCTCTCTCTTTCTCTAGATATACATATATATATATGCCTCAGTTTCCTCATCTTTTAGAGGAAAGAACTTGTTTGCACTTTTGTATTGACTCAAATATTAGAACAGAAACTATACTCAAAGAACAGGGCTTGATGTTGTCAAACATTCCTTTTGAGGAAGCTGAGAAAACTCTATGAATTTACAGATGCTCCACAGTGCTAGTAAATACTGTGGCATACATTCACATTGGGTTGGTTAGTATGGGAATATTTGCATTCATTTTAGGAAATAATTTTGTTTCTTTTTTGCCTGTTTCAAATGTTTAAACATATAAATTGTGATTGTGGGGGATGGGGTCATGTATAATCCTGCTCTTATTTTGACTTCTGTCTTTTCATTCTTAATGTAAATTTCCCTTAGACAAATGAGATTATGCAATTGTGTTATCACCACCATCTTCAAATCCAACACTGAAGTAGCTGTCTCCTTCCCTAAACTTTCTTTCCTAGTATCATCCTACTGTCTCAACACCCCAGGAGCCTGGGAGTTGATGCTCCTTCTCTGACCTCCATTCAGGTCCTAAATCATGGCAGTTCTACTGTCTCAGTGTCTCTCTAATGTTACCATGGCTCCTGGGCGAAAACCGCATTGATTCCGACCCCTTCTCCCCCACTGAACTCCTACAGTCATGGAATCATTTCTAGCAGTGTCCCCATCAAATTCCGTACAAATCTCCCTTAGGGGATACATTTCAGATGTGTGGCTGACCGTGGAACTTGCCTGCTGAAAGCCCTTCAAGCCTTCAATGGCTCATCATTGCCTTAAGGTTAAAGTTTAAGCTCCTTCACATTGCTTGTAGAGTGGTGACTCTGTGGGATAAACACTGGACTGTGCACCACAAGGTTGGTTCGAGCCCACCAGTTCACCAAGATTTGTAGCCTTGGAAACCCTATACAGGGTCTCTGAGTCAGACCGACTTGAGGCACTGACCAACAACCAAGAATGGCCTTTATGTCCTTCATGGCCAGGACCCTTCCTCTTTCACTGTATGTTTTGGCATTATTGTCCTCCTCATACTCATAAAACACTTCCTAACCCCCCTCCCCTTTACTACATGACGGTTTCTTATCTGTGCATATGCAGGCTTCCCTACTTGGGATACTTTTTTCCTCCACTCTTTATACCTCATCAGGCCTACTCATTATTTAAGATACAGGCAAACTGTCAAAAGCCCACTTTTGACTCTTAACTCCTGGGCTCCTCTATCCCTCCAATTCAGTATCTGTGTGTAGTTCTTATTCCATTATCCTTCATTCATTTATTCATGAACCAACAACGTACCAGTACTCATGACAGGCAGAATTTTAAACACAGCAGATGATAAATCAAAGTTCCTATCCTAATGGAACTTATGTTCTGTGAAGGGAGATAGATAACAAGCAAGTAAAATCCCAGTGTTCGGTGGGTGGTGAGCACTACAAAAACTATAGCTGAGCCTGGCATTCGGAGGGTGCTGTTGACAGAGCATACTCAGGGAAGGCCTGACTGCTGAGGTGGAAGTGAGAGCGAGCTGGGCAGATGAGTGAGGAAACCCCAAGACAATCACGCTTAGTATGTTCCAGGAACAGCAAAGAAGTCGGGTGCCCACAGCAGAGTGAGGCGTGTGGAGTGGGACAAGATGGCTCAAAGAGCTACTGACAAGCCAGCTCATGAAGGGCTTTGTAGGCCCATTATCAAGACGTTGACTTTGACTCTGAAATGGGAACCACTGAAGGCTTCTGTGCAAAGAAGTGACAAGATCTAGCTTGTGTGTTGAAAAGATCACTCTGACTAAAGTCCTTGTGAGGATTAAATGAGATCCTCTCTAGAGAACACTAATTGTCGTCTCGTTCCTATAGTTAAGCACATGGTAATTATTATAAACAAACACAAATTTAAAAAAAGAGAGAGAGACCAAAACAAACTCACTGTTGTCAATCGATTCTGACTTACAGCAACCCTGCATGTTAGAGTAAAATTACTCAGAGGGTTCCTAAAGCTGTAAATCTTTTCAGAAGCAGACTGCCACATCTGTCTCCCTCAGAGCAACTGGTGGGTGAGTTCAAAGTGCCTGCCTTTAGATTTGCAGCTGACCACTTAACCACAGCATCACCAGAGCTCCTGATGATTCTCATTGGTATACTGGGTACAGTATCCCCTTCCTATTGTGCAACATTTGTTGAATGAATAAGTACCTGTCTGGCATTTCATCCAAGATGTTTCCCTGTGCTGGTGAAGTATTAATACGGTATCTTTTGGACTTCTCCAGGCTGCTCCTCACAGGGAGGCGCGAAGGCCTAAGGACCACGTTGATGCAATGGAGCTCCCCAACTACAGCCGACAGCTGCTGCAGCAGCTCTACACGCTGTGCAAGGAGCAGCAATTCTGTGACTGCACCATCTCCATTGGCTCCATTTACTTCAGGGCTCACAAACTCGTCCTGGCTGCTGCCAGCCTCCTGTTCAAAACCCTGCTGGACAGCACAGACACCATCTCCATCGATGCGTCTATGGTGAGCCCCGAAGAGTTTGCCCTCTTGTTAGAGATGATGTACACTGGCAAGCTCCCCGTGGGCAAGCACAACTTCTCCAAGATCATCTCCGTAGCTGACAGCCTACAGATGTTCGATGTGGCTGTTAGCTGTAAGAATCTTCTGGCTAGCCTTGTCAACTGTTCCTCCGTTCAGGGGCAGGTGGTGAGAGATGACTCGGTGCCATCCCCGGAGTCGTGTAGGAAAGAACCCGAGAAGCCTCAAGTCGAAATCCTTCCCTCTGAAGGTGCTGGAGAGCCCTGTGTTCCCTCTGAGGGTTCTGCCCCTCCAGAGGGCTCTGTGAAAGCTGAGATGGAGCAGACAAGCCAAATGGTTGCACAAGAACTGAGCGTGGAGTCTCCCACCACCCAGGAGATGCCAAGAAACATGGAAACGCCAGCGGAAACTCCTAACGCGGTGGGAGTATGCTCCTCTCCCCCTGTGGTACAGACCTTGAGTGAGGCCACGGAGACAAGTACAGAACCAGGTAATTCTCACTCAATAGTGGTTTAGTAATTGGTTTTTCTACTGTCAATGAGTAAATGCAATGATTTTTAGGAAATTTTGGTCACATACATAAATTTACCAAAGACCACTGTTAGGCGATTGGCTAACAGTTTATAATGGAATTCAAAATCCAATGGTAGATTGCTGCTGGACCGGTCTTCCAAGTGTCTGTGATTTCGAGTGTTGGTAGTCTGAAGATGAGCTACAGAGCAGAAAGCAGTATTGTGATTATGATGTACCATTTCTGATAATTAGCCATATTCTCACCAGGCTGAGCATAAGAGGAAGTTGTGAGAGCCATCGTTGGTCTATTAAGCTTCACTATTACTTAAATGCAGCGTATGACCTAAATGTTTTCCATAGATAGCTTCAACTTTTCCTTAATGAGTGGCTGTTTTTTGTTTTGTTTTGTTCTTTTTTAACTTTCAGAGTATAAGAGAAAACACTACCAGTGGGATTTTCTTGTGGAAAATGAAAGTATCTTCTCCGATGCCCTCTCTAGTTCCCAGGATGTTTTAAAAAGAGTAGAGGAATGTTCAGAAATTAAAGGCCAACAGAAGGAGGTATGTACTTATTTCTTTCATTTGTTTGCTAGTTGAATGTTCTCAGGATAACATATCAAATTCCCACATGAAGCAAAAATCCAAAAAAGTAAAATACTTTAGGGTTGCGGTTTTTTTTAAAAGAGGTCAGATTGTCATGTATTAAATATGTCATAACAGCATAGAAGATGTTGCAATAGTAACCTGACCTTCTTGTTTCAAATGAAAATAATATATAATAAATATATGTTGTTTCCCTTCTAGTACATAAAAAAAAAGAAGAAAAAGAAAGCAATTTCCATTTTTCTCCTTTCTTCTCTTCCCTTACTTTTTACCTTCCTTTCCCGTAACCCAAGTTAGCACATGTCACTCTGCTCAGTGAATCATTCTCCTTTCCTCCCACCCCTGGTAACCATCACAGAAGGTTTATGTTGTTGTTGTTATGTGCCGTGGAGTGTTTGTAATGGAATGAAAACTTTTCTTGACTTTTGATGCAGTGGTCTCATACAATAACTGTTCCTTTGTGACTAATCTCACCTAGCATAAACTCCATCCTTCAGACTCCTCCATGATATGTGGTGTTTTGTAGATTCCTTGTTATTCTTCAATATTACATAATATTCCATTGTGTGTATGTACCAAAGTTGAACACACTCATTCAACTACTGATGGGTAGCTAGGCTGTCTCCATCTTTTTGGTAGTGGGAATAATGCTGTGATGAACATGGACATGCATATAGCTATTAAGGTTACAGCTCTTGTTTCTTGAAGATGTATACCAAGTAGAGAGATTGCTGGGTCATATGATATTTCGATTTCCAACCTTTCTAGAAAGTGCCATACTGTTTTCTATAGCGATTGCATCATTTTACAGTCCCACCAGCAGTGTAGAAGGGTCCCCTGCTCTCCTCATCTTCACCAGCATTTGTTGTTTTCTCTTATTTTGAACTTTGCTGGGGTAAAATGATATCGCAGTGTTATTTTGATTTGCATATTTCTAAGGGCTTGTGATCATGAGCATTTCTTCATGTTTGTTGGCTGTCTGAATGTCCTCTTTGGTTTGAAGTGTCTGTTCATGTCCTCTGCCCATTTTTAAATTGAATTATTTGTCATCTTGTTGACATGTTGAAGTGTTCTATAAATTTTGGAGGGTAGACCTTTCATATGTGCTGCCAAAATTTTTTTCCCCAGTCTGTGGGTTCTCTTTTTACTCTTGATGCACATTAGTGTCTAATTTTTAGGAGATCCCAGTCATCTATTTTGTCTTCTGCTATTTGTGTGCTTTCAAATACGTTTGGTAATGGCTTTATGCCTTCAGTCAGAGTCTCTAAGATTGTCCCTGTTTTTTCATTGGTGATTTTTATAGTACTAGGTTTTACATTTAGGTGTTTAATCAACGTTGAGTTCATTTTTGTATATGGTGTGAGATATGGGTCTTACTTCATTCTTTTGTAAATGGATCTCTAGTTTTGCCAGCACCATTTGTTAAAGAGACTATCCATTTAATGTGTTTTGGTCTTTTGTCAAAAATCAACTGAGCAGAGGTTGGTGGATTTACTTCTGGGTTCTCAATTCTGTTTCATTGATCTGTGTGTTTTTCATTGTACTAGTTCAAGGTTACTAAGTTTTGGTTACTGTGGCTGTGTAGTAGGGGAGTGAGATGCCTCCTATTTTATTCTTCTCTTTTAGTAATACTTTGCTTATCCAGGGTCTCTTTCCTTTCCTTATGAAGTTGGTGATTCATTTTTCCATCTCTTTTGTTGGAACCTGGATTGGGACTGCATTATATCTATAGATTGCTTTGGGTAGTGTTGGTATAGTCACAATGTTAAGTCCTCCTGTCCATGAGCATGGTATGTTCTTTTATTATTGTAAGTTTCTTTTAGTTTCTTATAGTAGTGTTTTGTAGTTTTCTTTGTATAGGTTTTTTGTTTCTGTGGCTAAATTTATTCCCAAGTATTTAATCTTTTGGATGGCTATTGCAAATGGTACTGTTTTCCTGATTTCCTTTTCAGAGCCCTCTTTATCAGTGTAAATGAATCCACTGATTTCTGTATGTTGATCTTGTACCCTGTCACTTTGCTGGATCTTTCAATGAGTTCCAATAATTTTTTTTGGTTGAGTGTTGGGAATTTTATAAGATCATATCATCTGTAAATGGAGTTTTGCTTCTTTGTCAATTTGAATGCATTTAATATCCCTTTCTTGTCTTATGGTGGTAGTGGCGGCTATGAGCCATGGAGTCAGTCCCAACTCATAGCAAACCAGTATAGGGTTTCCAAAGCTGTAAATATGTGGGAGCAGAATTTCATAACTCGGCTATAATTTCCAGCACAATACTGAATAGGAGTGGTGGTAAGGGCATCCTTGTCTGGGTCCTGTTTGCAAGAGGAATGACTTCAGTTTCTCTTCATTGAGAGTGATGTTGCCTATTGGTTTATGTCAGTTTCTCTTCATTGAGAGCGATGTTGCCTATTGGTTTTGTGTCAGTTTCTCTTCATTGAGAATGATGTTGCCTATTGGTTTTGCTTCTTGTTTGTTGTTAAGTGCCATTGAGTCAGTTCCACCTTATAGCGACCCTAGGTAGAGTTTCCAAGGAGCAACTGGTGAGTTTGAACCACTGACCTTGCGATTCCAATGACCTTGCTTGAGGTCTAGTGCTTATCCTACAGCACCAAAAGGACTTGGTTTTACATATACGCACTTAATTATGTTGAGAAATTTCCCTTTTATTCCTATTTTGTTAAGTATTTTTATCAGGAATGGATACTGGATTTTGTCATTGCTTTTTCTGCATTGATTGGTATGATCATGTGGTTTTTTTCCTCCTTTATTTTATTTATGGTGGATTATGTTTATTGTTTTTCTAATATTCAACCATCCCTGCATACCTGGTATGAATCACATTTGATCATGATGTTTTAATTTTTTGATACGTTGTTTGATTCTATTGGTTAGGATTTTGTTGAGAATTTTTGCATCCATGTTCATGAGGGATATTGGTCTATAATTTTCTTTTTCAGTGATGTCTTTGCCTGCTTTTGGTATCAGAGTTATGCTTGCTTCATAAAACGAATTTGGGAGTTTTCCATCTTTTTCTATATTCTGGAATAATTTGAGTAGAATTGTTGTCACCTCTTCTGAATGTTTGGTGGTTGTTAAATGCTATTGAGTCAGTTTCAACTCATAGTGATACTGCATAGGGTTTCCAAAGGGCAGCTGGTGAGTTTGAACTGCTGACTTTGTGGATAGCTTGTTGTTTTTGTTGTTATTAAGTGCTGTCGAGTTGGTTCCGATTCATAGCAACCCTGCATATGGTTTCCGAGGAGCAGCTGATGAATTTGAACAGCCAACCTTGTGGTTCAAACCAACCTGCAGTCCAGTGCTTATCCAACAGTGCCACACCAGATAGAATTCACCAATAAAACCACCCGGGCCTATACTTCTTTTGTTAGGAGTTTTATGACTTGATCGGTTTCTTTTTTTGTTATAGTTCTGTTCAAGTTTTCTACCTCAGTCTGTGTTAGTTTGTTGTTGGTAAGTGCCATTGAGTCAATTCCGAATCATAGCCACCCTGTATAGGGTTTCCAAAGAGCAACTGGTGACTTTGAACCAGTGTTGTGGTTCAAATTGACCTTGCGGTTTAGGTAGGTTTTTCATACTTTCATTTTATTCTTTTTGGCATTTATTCCCTAAAGGCTAGTCTGGCAAAAATAATAAGCAAGATACTTTCACAGTGAAGTTATGCTTCGATCATCAGATAAATCCCAGCTTATTACCATTTTGATCCAGGATATGTAATGGTACATTCCATTTCTTCCTGATTAGTCATGGTGGTAGTGTGCTATGGAGTCAGTTCCAACTCATAGCGACCCTGTATAGGCTGTAAATCTTTATGGGAGCAGAAAGCCTCACCTTTCTTCCCCAGAATAGCTGGTAGTTTCTATCTGCTGACCTTGATGTTAGCAGCCCGACTTATAACCACTACACTACGAGAGCTCCTTTGATTAGTCATGAGAAACCTCAAATCAGAGACTTCAACAATAAAACAAATTACAACAAATACTCAAAACTGGCATAAAAAGGATTTAATATAAACTTCTTTTAGTAAATTGCATCTAGTATTGAGGAAGACAATGCCCATTTTCAGATGTATGAACAGTAATAGTGAACATTTATTACTTGCTCTGCTAAGAATGGTACATATGTTATGTCATTTAATCCTCATAAAAGTTCTCAAGGTACTATTTTTTAGTCTCATTTTATGGATGAAAAACTGTTGCAAAGAGGTGATGTAACTTGGCCAAGATTGCAGAGTTCTTAGGATTCTGAGCCGGAATTCAAAGCTGTGCATTCTGACTTTAGAGCTGTTTCTTCTCTGACACACTGTGTGATATATACTGCCTCTGAGAGGGTGCAAATGATACACATGTGCAGAACAGCTTAGGAACTACCTGACAAAACTGCCAACTGGGTATCCTTGTCTGCTTCCAAGCTGACCTTTTCCTTTTCTCAGCATCTCATTGAGACACCTTCCCCCTGTATGCTCCCTGACCCCACAGCCGCTTTAGAATGCCACTTGACTTCTGCATTCTGAGAGATTGCTGGCAGAGGGGAGGGACCCTGCCTCAGCTGCCTTGAGCATGTGATTGATGTGGGTAGGGTAGAGAGGTCTTCCCATGCTGCTGTCACAGTTTAGTGTCTGTTAGTTACCATTGGAGTCCTGGTGTGGTGCTGGACACTGGACTGCTAAGCACAGTGGGTCGGTGGACCCATTAGTTGCTCCTCGGGAAACCCTGTACAGGGTCTATACAAGATTGCTATGAGTCAGAACCAACTCGATGGTACTGAGCAACAACAGTTACTATTGATCCAAAGTGTAGGGACTTAATACTTAACCATATCCCTGATACATTGCAAGTTTTTTAAAAAAATACAAACTCAATGTTTAGTATTTATTTTAACTGTAGTTAATCCATATATGGCTGTAAATTGTTTCTTGGGAGATGAGCTATTTACAA